GCTGTCTACAAGCCTCTTAGACCCAGCCAAGCTCTTCTGCCCTGGCCTGAACTTATTTACCTTCCGAGGGAAGTTCTTATCACCAGACTCACTGATTGTACAGATAAGTAACAACCTCTGCACAACTGAGTTGGACCACACAAAACCAAGTGCTGGGGGAAGAGAGTGGGACATGAAGCCTCCCGATAGATTTAAGTTGAATCATCATAGTCTCCTCACTAAACTTACCCCGACTCCTGCACAGAAGACATCAACATCACCAGAGACTAGAAGTCACCCATTGTCATTTCCCAACAACTTTTGACCTGATTACAGTTCACATTATATTAAAACAGCTCCAGGCCAGTCAGTGGAAGGCTACTTAGGTCATCCACTGCACTTTCTAAAATGCAGCACTCTATACAACTATGAGTTGGACTCTGTCCAAAGAGTGAGTATCAAAATGTCAGTTTCCATGTTGTGAAGCCAGTAGACAAAACAGACCTTTCCTGGGAAGTTATCTCTGTGTCATGAAAGAAAAGAAGTATACTTTTTTTATTTATAAAGTAGCTCCATTGTTTTGTTTTTGTTATTTATTATAAGACACATTAAATCCAAAGTAATAAAATTGTTTAAAAATCAAGAGAAACCAACAAGTCAGTTCTCTTTCTGACCAAATGAACCATTTAGCAACAAAATGAAACAGAAAAAGACAGGATGCTCTACTGTGAGGAGACAGGAGATCCAAAGATCAGTGGCTATCCAGCTTAGCCAGAAGAGAAACTTTCAGGTTCAGTGAGAGACTCAGGCTGAAGAGCATAAGGGAGAAAGCAACAGAGGACACTCGATGTCATCATCAGACCTTCCAAATACTCACAGATGTATGCGCCCTCTGGCAGGCATACTGACACACAGACACAAATCCCTCAAATTATCATTGATCAGGATGCAGTGAGGAGGACATCACACTGGATGAGGATGACATTGCCAGTTGGTTTTAAACTCTTCACAATAGCTGTTATTTAAACACAGTTCTGCATAATTTTGGACTAAAATTGCCTAGAGAAGCATGCTGTGTCTCTGCAGGCTATGTTGATGCAGTTGGCTCAAATCTCTCACCCTGAACACTGCCTGTCATAAGCCCTTGCCTCATCTCTGGTCATCCAGTGAGCTTCTGAATGTAAGAACCAGGATGGGAGAACTGGCCAATGCCACTTACAGCAAGCAGTACTGACAAGCTGTTAATTTAGTTTCTGTCACT